AGAGAGAGAGAGAGAGAGAGAGAGAGAGAGAGAGAGAGAGAGAGAGAGAGAGGGCGGTTTTGTCGTCTTGGTTTCCTTTTTCTTTTGTCGTCTGTTTATTTTATCTTTCTTCAGGTGTTTCCGTATGTTTGCCTCTTAGACTACATGTGATCAAGCAGACGTCTTGCGGCATGAATGTGCAAGCTCGGGCATGTGGGTCACTGCAGTACGTGCATGAGAAGAGAGAGGAAGAGTTTGTTTATTTCGCTTTCTCAATTTTTTTTCTTCGTTTTGTTTGTCTGTTTCCTACATTTTTCATTGGGTGTTTGGAAGTGGAAATCATCCGGCATGAATGTTCAAGTGCACACGCGTGCTTTCATTCAGGCTTGAGAGAGAGAGAGAGAGAGAGAGAGAGAGAGAGAGAGAGAGAGAGAGAGAGAGAGGGAGAGAGATTTTGTCTTCACTTTTGTCTTCTTCAGGTGTTTCCGTATTTGTCTCTACAAGTAATTGAGCAGAAATCTTGCGGCATGAGTGTCCCGATTGTACAGAGAGAGAGAGAGAGAGAGAGAGAGAGAGAGAGAGAGAGAGAGAGAGAGAGAGAGGCGATTTGGTCTTCACTTTTTTTAAGTTTTTTCTTCTTCAGGTGTTTCCGTAGGTTCGTCTTTACAAGTGATTGAGAAATCTTGTGGCATATGTGTGTGTGTGTGTGTGTGTGTGTGTGTGTGTGTGTGTGAGAGAGAGAGAGAGAGAGAGGGAGGGGATTTGGTCTTCACTTTTTTGAAGTTTTTTCTTCTTCGGGTGTTTCTGTAGGTTCGTCTTTACAAGTGATGGAGAAATCTTGTGGCATGAGAGAGAGAGAGAGAGAGAGAGAGAGAGAGAGAGAGAGAGAGGGTTTGTCATCACCTTTTTTGAGTTTTTTCTTCTTCAGGTGTTTCCGTATGTTCATCCTTACAACTGATTCAGCCGATATCTTGCGGCACGAGAGAGACACACACACACACACACACACACACACACACACACACACAGAGAGAGAGAGAGAGAGAGAGAGAGAGAGAGAGAGAGAGAGAGAGAG